CCCGTACGATTTTCTTCAAAATTGGCATGGTGATACTACAGGCCCAGATGACCAATCTGGCTGAAGAAACCCCTATGGGCATTGAAATCTATGGGGTAAAAACGCCCTTGGAAAGTTTTACCCACGCATTTCTGGAAAGACTATCGCACGCATCCCCCCAATATGGGTATCATATGAAAGCCCATGAAAACCCAAACAAAATGGTGGGGTGAAATTTACCCATTACCCCATCCAGGGTAAAGTTTACCCAAGATGAAAATTTTCGGTCAATGGTGCGGCCCCTACGATTTTCTTCAAAATCGGCATGGTGATACTACAGGCCCAGATGATCAATCTGGCTGAAAAAACCCCTATGGGCATTGAAATCTATGGGGTAAAAACGCCCTTGGAAAGTTTTACCCACGCATTTCTGGCAAGACTATCGCACGCATCCCCCCAATATGGGTATCATATGAAAGCCCATGAAAACCCAAACAAAATGGTGGGGTAAAATTTACCCATTACCCCATCCAGGGTAAAGTTTACCCAAGATGAAAATTTTCGGTCAATGGGGCGGCCCCTACGATTTTCTTCAAAATCGGCATGGTGATACTACAGGCCCAGATGACCAATCTGGCTGAAGAAACCCCTATGGCCATTGAAATCTATGGGGTAAAAACGCCCTTGGAAAGTTTTACCCACGCATTTCTGGCAAGACTATCGCACGCATCCCCCCAATATGGGTATCATATGAAAGCCCATGAAAACCCAAACAAAATGGTGGGGTAAAATTTACCCATTACCCCATCCAGGGTAAAGTTTACCCAAGATGAAAATTTTCGGTCAATGGGGCGGCCCCTACGATTTTCTTCAAAATCGGCATGGTGATACTACAGGCCCAGATGATCAATCTGGCTGAAGAAACCCCTATGGGCATTGAAATCTATGGGGTAAAAACGCCCTTGGAAAGTTTTACCCACGCATTTCTGGCAAGACTATCGCACGCATCCCCCCAATATGGGTATCATATGAAAGCCCATGAAAACCCAAACAAAATGGTGGGGTAAAATTTACCCATTACCCAATCCAGGGTAAAGTTTACCCAAGATGAAAATTTTTGGCCAATGGGGCGGCCCGTACGATTTTCTTCAAAATTGGCATGGTGATACTACAGGCCCAGATGACCAATCTGGCTGAAGAAACCCTATGGGCATTGAAATCTATGGGGTAAAAACGCCCTTGGAAAGTTTTACCCACGCATTTCTGGAAAGACTATCGCACGCATCCCCCCAATATGGGTATCATATGAAAGCCCATGAAAACCCAAACAAAATAGTGGGGTAAAATTTACCCATTACCCCATCCAGGGTAAAGTTTACCCGAGATGAAAATTTTCGGTCAATGGTGCGGCCCCTACGATTTTCCTCAAAATCGGCATGGTGATACTACAGGCCCAGATGATCAATCTGGCTGAAAAAACGCTATGGGCATTGAAATCTATGGGGTAAAAACGCCCTTGGAAAGTTTTACCCACGCATTTCTGGCAAGACTATCGCACGCATCCCCCCAATATGGGTATCATATGAAAGCCCATGAAAACCCAAACAAAATGGTGGGGTAAAATTTAGCCATTACCCCATCCAGGGTAAAGTTTACCCAAGATGAAAATTTTCGGTCAATGGGGCGGCCCGTACGATTTTCTTCAAAATTGGCATGGTGATACTACAGGCCCAGATGACCAATCTGGCTGAAGAAACCCCTATGGGCATTGAAATCTATGGGGTAAAAACGCCCTTGGAAAGTTTTACCCACGCATTTCTGGCAAGACTATAGCACGCATCCCCCCAATATGGGTATCATATGAAAGCCCATGAAAACCCAAACAAAATGGTGGGGTAAAATTTACCCATTACCCCATCCACGGTAAAGTTTACCCAAGATGAAAATGTTCGGTCAATGGGGCGGCCCCTACGATTTTCTTCAAAATCGGCATGGTGGTACTCAAGGTTTTCATGGTACTTGGGTTTTCATGGGCTTTCATATGATACCCATATTGGGGGGATGCGTGCGATAGTCTTGCCAGAAATGCGTGGGTAAAACTTTCCAAGGGCGTTTTTACCCCATAGATTTCAATGCCCATAGGGGTTTCTTCAGCCAGATTGGTCACCTGGGCCTGTAGTATCACCATGCCGATTTTGAAGAAAATCGTAGGGGCCGCCCCATTGACCGAAAATTTTCATCTTGGGTAAACTTTACCCTGGATGGGGTAATGGGTAAATTTTACCCCACCATTTTGTTTGGGTTTTCATTGGCTTTCATATGATACCCATATTGGGGGGATGCGTGCGATAGTCTTGCCAGAAATGCGTGGGTAAAACTTTCCAAGGGAGTTTTTACCCCATAGATTTCAATGCCCATAGGGGTTTCTTCAGCCAGATTAGTCATCTGGGCCTGTAGTATCACCATGCCGATTTTGAAGAAAATCGTAGGGGCCGCTCCATTGACCGAAAATTTTCATCTTGGGTAAACTTTACCCTGGATGGGGTAATGGGTAAATTTTACCCCGCCATTTTGTTTGCGTTTTCATGGGCTTTCATATGATACCCATATTGGGGGGATGCGTGCGATTGTCTTGCCAGAAATGCGTGGGTAAAACTTTCCAAGGGCGTTTTTACCCCATAGATTTCAATGCCCATTGGGGTTTCTTCAGCCAGATTGGTCATCTGGGCCTGTAGTATCACTATGCCGATTTTGAAGAAAATCGTAGGGGCCGCCCCATTGACCGAAAATTTTCATCTTGGGTAAACTTTACCCTGGATGGGTTAATGGGTAAATTTTACCCCACCATTTGGTTTGGGTTTTCATGGGCTTTCATATGATACCCATATTGGGGGGATGCATGCGATAGTCTTTCCAGAAATGCGTGGGTAAAACTTTCCAAGGGCGTTTTTACCCCATAGATTTCAATGCCCATAGGGGTTTCTTCAGCCAGATTGGTCATCTGGGCCTGTAGTATCACCATGCCGATTTTGAAGAAAATCGTAGGGGCCGCCCCATTGACCGAAAATTTTCATCTTGGGTAAACTTTACCCTAGATCGGGTAATGGGTAAATTTTACCCCACGATTTTGTTTGGGTTTTCATGGGCTTTCATATGATACCCATATTGGGGGGATGCGTGCCATACACTTGCCAGAAATGCGCGGGTAAAACTTTCCAAGGGCGTTTTTACCCCATAGATTTCAATGCCCATAGGGGTTTCTTCAGCCAGATTGGTCCTCTGGGCCTGTAGTATCACCATGCCGATTTTGAAGAAAATCGTAGGGGCCGCCCCATTGACCGAAAAATTTCATCCTGGGTAAACTTTACCCTGGATGGGGTAATGGGTAAATTTTACCCCACCATTTTGTTTGGGTTTTCATGGGCTTTCATATGATTCCCATATTGGGGGGATGCGTGCGATAGTCTTGCCAGAAATGCGTGGGTAAAACTTTCCAAGGGCGTTTTTACCCCATAGATTTCAATGCCCATAGGGGTTTCTTCAGCCAGATTAGTCATCTGGGCCTGTAGTATCACCATGCCGATTTTGAAGAAAATCGTAGGGGCCGCCCCATTGACCGAAAATTTTCATCTTGGGTAAACTTTACCCTGGATGGGGTAATGGGTAAATTTTACCCCACCATTTTGTTTGGGTTTTCATTGGCTTTCATATGATACCCATATTGGGGGGATGCGTGCGATAGTCTTGCCAGAAATGCGTGGGTAAAACTTTCCAAGGGCGTTTTTACCCCATAGATTTCAATGCCCATAGGGTTTTCTTCAGCCAGATTAGTCATCTGTGCCTGTAGTATCACCATGCCGATTTTGAAGAAAATCGTAGGGGCCGCCCCATTGACCGAAAATTTTCATCTTGGGTAAACTTTACCCTGGATGGGGTAATGGGTAAATTTTACCCCGCCATTTTGTTTGGGTTTTCATGGGCTTTCATATGATACCCATATTGGGGAGATGCGTGCGATAGTCTTGCCAGAAATGCGTGGGTAAAACTTTCCAAGGGCGTTTTTACCCCATAGATTTCAATGCCCATAGGGGTTTCTTCAGCCAGATTGGTCACCTGGGCCTGTAGTATCACTATGCCGATTTTGAAGAAAATCGTAGGGGCCGCCCCATTGACCGAAAATTTTCATCTTGGGGAAACTTTACCCTGGATGGGGTAATGGGTAAATTTTACCCCACCATTTGGTTTGGGTTTTCATGGGCTTTCATATGATACCCATATTGGGGGGATGCGTGCGATAGTCTTTCCAGAAATGCGTGGGTAAAACTTTCCAAGGGCGTTTTTACCCCATAGATTTCAATGCCCATAGGGGTTTCTTCAGCCAGATTGGTCATCTGGGCCTTTAGTATCACTATGCCGATTTTGAAGAAAATCGTAGGGGCCGCCCCATTGACCGAAAATTTTCATCTTGGGTAAACTTTACCCTGGATGGGGTAATGGGTATATTTTACCCCACCATTTTGTTTGGGTTTTTATGGGCTTTCATATGATACCCATATTGGGGGGATGCGTGCGATAGTCTTGCCAGAAATGCGTGGGTAAAACTTTCCAAGGGCGTTTTTACCCCATAGATTTCAATGCCCATAGGGGTTTCTTCAGCCAGATTGGTCACCTGGGCCTGTAGTATCACCATGCCGATTTTCAAGAAAATCGTAGGGGCCGCCCCATTGACCGAAAATTTTCATCCTGGTTAAATCATGCTTTTGGTTAAATTGATCCGGTATTTAACCATATCATTAGGTCTGGGGTGAAGAGATCTTTCAAATGGTGGTCTTATTTTTCAGTTTGGTCCAGCCGTTTAGGCGTAAAACGGTTTTTAGATTTTTCCCTAGATTTCTAGATTTTTCCCTAGATTTGGTAGCCCCAATCTGGGCTGGGCCGAATGTGGGCTGAATGTGGGCTAACTTCCGTTACATCGGAGCGTACCCCCCTGGCCGAGCCGCAGCTACCGCAGCTACCGCAGGTGCCCGTGAACAGCACTCAGGAAAACGAAGCATGCTTCAGTAGGTGACGTCACACAGGCGGTGACGCAGTGGTGTGGGCGGGACTAACGGGCGACGAAGTCCTCACTGCGCATGCGTGCTGCAGCATATTTCATTTTTGCTGCGCAGCAGAACAGCCCTCTGATTATGCCCCAGCCACTAGTCATGACGTCACACTTCGGTTGCGTATAGATGGCCTTGGTAGTAATAATTATTGAAATATTTTATTCAGGGGCTGGGGCACAAAGGGTCTTAAATATTATTCAAATTGTGATACTTGTGGCTGAGAGCGATTATTGTGGCAAGTCTGAATGTCAGGGCTCCTTCAGTCAGTTGGTCTGTGCCTGTCAATTTACCAAAGTAGCTCACAACTTCGACTGTTTGTCAGAGGATTTTAACATCCTGAAACAGAAAATTTCAACCACTTCAGGTTGAGGTAAGTTGGTTGAGGGAAGGTTGTGGTGGAAGCACCAAAAAGGGGAGGGCTATATAATAGAACACACCCTTGCAAGCTAGGGTGGTACGGCTTTGACTAATTGGTTTGAGAGCTGGCTCAGCGGTCGGTGTCAGAGGGTCCGAGGGATCTGGTGCCGCGATTCCTGTGGACTATGGCGTGATACAGGGCTCAATTTTAGGGCCAATTTTATTTTTGATATTTACAAATGATCTTACCTCATACCTGCCCACAATAAGGTGGTGTGATATGTGGACGACGCACAGTTCATTCACCGAAGTGCACCAAAGGACATGGCTATCCTCCAAAACAGTGCCCAAACCACTGTCAGCCGTGCTAACAACTGGTTTGTTCAAAACAGTTTGAAGTTAAATCTCCGGAAAAGTGATATCATTTTGGTTAGTTCATCTCGCAGAAGGCTCAGTACTGAGTCTGACTTTCAGATAAAATTTGATTGTGCCACACTTCACCAGGCACAGAAAATTAAAGGACTTGGTGTTGTGTTGGACTAAAATCTTACGTTCGAGGATCACATATTTGTAGTCATTCGTCGCTGCTATGCAACCCTGGGCGGTCTGTCTAAAATGTTGCGTCCCTTCCAGAAGAAGTGAAAAAAACTCCTCGTCCAAAGTCTGGTTTTCCCACATATGTAGTACTGAGCCACTGTTTGGGCCGGATGTAATTTAACGCGACTTCAAAAAGTAATTAACCATGGTGTCAGGATCGTGAAAAAGTGAAAAATTTGCGCCGCTTCCATCATATAACACCTCATCTGACCGACATGAACTGGCCCGCAGTAGAGCAGCTCATCACGGAGAGAGACGTCTCTGTCAGTACTCTGTCCAGCTCCTACCCACCAGACTCCCTCCGCGATCAGATCGCATACAGAGCAGAGGTCTCCGAAAGAGAAACTCGTGCGTCGCTGGCTGGCGCTCTTCAGTTGCCTCGTGTTCGTACGGAGCTTGGTAGGCGGTCTTTCTCATATAGAACTGTCTCAACATGGAACAAGGTGCATGCTGTGGACAAGGAGGCCAGGACATAATTTTGTCGGGCACTAAAGGCGATTCACGTCAGCGCAATGATGTGCAACTTCAACTTAACTCACCGGGTGGGGGAGGGGGATTGCTACTGTTTTTATCTCTGTGTCATTTAGCATTTCTTTACATTTTTAATGTTCCTAACTGCTGTGTGTTTTATGTTCTTACTGTAAACCTGACACTTGACCCGAAAAGCCGTGGACATGCGGAGGTCATACGAAATAAATGATGATGATGAGTGATGATAAGGTTTTCGTGAATATCTAAAAAACGGTGCTGCTTTTAGCACACCTTACCATGAATCTTTTCTGCACGTGTGAAAATTTCATTCAGACCTAAGGTCACTCAAAGTCAGTTCACATGTTTCTCCCGGTTTCCTGAGGTGAAGTGACCTCACCTCAGAAAAAGTTCCAATGCTTGCCATAGCTACACCGATGGACTGCTCGCTTTGAAACTTTTAGCATTTGATAAGGGCAACATTTCTTGTGAAATGTATCTCAATTTTGATGTAACGGTAGCGCAGGCGTTACCGATAGCTTCGGCGGTGTAAATCAGTTGGTGACATACCAGGGAAATAAGCTAAAATTAGAGCGCTCTATTTATTGCTCCTGCTCCATGTTGAAGAGATACCCCTATAAGCGTGATCTTTTATCGGCCCTTACGCAGCAAGGCAGTACTTCTCAGACCGGTGGGTGGCATCAATAGAAAGAGAATGCGTCAAAGATTAACATGAATTAATTTAAATAACATTAAAATGTTAATTAAGCGTGGAAATGAGTCCCAAACATAAGCTAATTATTGCTCCTACCTCGGCGACGGCGCTCCCCGCAGTCAGCGGAGAAGCTAAAATAAAAGCCACCATCCTCCTCCGTAAGTCAATTTTAGAGCGGCCGAGTGGGCCGATGCGGGGCCACCAAACTGAGATAAGACGTGGCTAGCAATTGCAAACCGCCATAGAAATCAATATCTTAAGACGTACCTACAATATGGGATGATTACTCTGAAGCTGGAGTGAAAGCATGAGCAGATTGCAAGAAACGAAATGCATAGATTGGTTTAATTATATATAATAGGCACAGCTCAATAGATAAAGCCATTTCTATGATGTTGACATTTGACATAACCCTTCCTCTCCTCACCCATGACCTAAGTGCATTGGCAGTTGCCGGCATAGTTTTTGAGCATGAGTGTAATTCGCCATCGGACCGCAATGCATGTTGCTAGGCTGCTGCAATTACAACGAACATACGAATACTGCCTTCATTTGTAGACGTTTGTTTTTTAGGCGGTCTTTGACGTAAAAGGGGGCATACCTGTCGACAACTTGAGTTTCTCCGAATTTCAAAAACTCCCAGAATTTCAATTCCTTATGCACTGTTGTAGGTTCAGCTATGTTCACAAGTTTTCGTTTCCTCCTGTTCTAAAAAGGATGATATTTGTCGATTTCGTGCGTCGCTGATAGGAGGGTGCGTTTAATAATTAGGTAGGCCCAACGCTTTCTGCATCCGCGAGTACCTTCAAAAGGGAACAACAGTTTCCATTTATTACACTATGGGACATGTGACAAAATGACCACTGGAACACGCATGAAACGGAGCTCATATTCCTAAAAATGTCTACACTCACTTCTTTTCTGATGCACTTTTAGCAAATACCATCTCAAGTTAGGTGGTTGATAGACAGTCAATGGAGATCTGGGGAAACTGAGTGATGCCAATTCACCACTTAACTGATAATGAGGGCCGAGGGGAGAGAAACATGCAACATGCACAACTGACAACTTGACAAGTGACAAAATGCACTACCACTATTGCGCAGTGCACAACAATTACAGCAGCCAGCCCAAAAAATGCTTTTGGTGGCTAATTGCAAAACAAGTCACTAATAAATGTCTTAGTTGCAGCTGAACATGCTGCACAATGATCACACTGTTCACTCATTGAGTGAGATGCCACAGGTGGTTTGAATCACACTTTGGTACAACTGCAAATCTGAAGTGTTGTCATGAGGTTCATGCCTCCATGATCACAGCACTTTGGTTGTGGTTGGCATAACACTTGTAGTCTGCAGAGTTCCACATGAACTGCAGACACCTCATCTGGTGGTCTTCATGTTGCTCAACTTCTTCAGGAGGCAAATGTCGACCACCAAGCGGAAGCATGGTCCTGCAGAAAGGAAAGGTAATGCATAAGGTACAAACATTATCTGCTGAAACAGCCCCTTCTTTTGGCTGTTATTAAACTTTTAACATAACCATGCAATATGCATTCCATGTATATTACATTTGTTGAAGTAAAATACTGCCGGCTATTTCAAAACCAGAAAATGAAATTATTTTGTGGCATAATTCACATGCTCAGCTATCAGTATCAAATAATAAATTAATTTAAAATTTGGCATATTCTAAAAAACACATTCACAGAATATTCTACTTCACGTCACAAGGACTCACAATCTTTCTGTTGGGTGTTTGATTGACGCATTAACTAAGTTTGTCTTAGGTTTTATTATTGCAAAAAAATTCATATTGCATTATTGTAGCAATTCAAAATACTGCCAGCAATAACAAAACAAGAACATGAACTGTCAATGAGCAAGCCGCTTTTCCTAAAAATGGGTTACTTTGAAAAGAATTTTAGTTTCTTTTAAGGAAAAGGAGAAATGATTATCAGGTACGTATCAGAAAACCACTCAACCAGCAAGTGGCACGGTGGTTTCACAGCAAACATCAAGCCAAAACATATAGTTATATTTATCTAACAATTCAGCCATTTGACTACTACAAGGATATGTGAGCAAAATAAGAATCCAATTATCCAATGTTGACTTCCTTGCAAAGTTTATGCCTTATTTTATGAAAATGTGTCACTAGAATATGATACTTATCATCGAATATTATTTAATTTACGATTTATTTTGATCGAAACGCACATTGAGTCCCGCGCCATTTTCGTCGACGATGAATATGATCGTGTTTCATGAAGAGATAAGGGGTTTTAATGGTCTTTCAAAGCAATAATTTGATTAAAAAATTGGTAGGAAATAATATAAAGCTGGTTCAAATGGCCATCAACCATTTAAAACACCAAAAATACTCACAACTCCGTCCCGACGACCACGCAGCACCGCGCACGCCACACTACTGGCACAATGCCAAAACTGCTGTCACAGCAGAAATATTTTTTTCTCGATTGCAATTGTGGAATTATTTATCAAACAGAAGATGCTCTTTCCGAAAAAACGACTGATTTTATACACAGATGCATGGAAAATAAAAAAATCCCGGTAAGTTTATTTGTATTGTTTTGTCGATTTTGACATGCTCCTAGTTTGCAGCCATATTTCGATATGTTCTACAGGGAGTTCAGAATTATTTCAGGACCAATCTTTTCCTCGTTCATTTTCCCGTCGATCATGAAATTTTTAGAGCGGAACAATTAGTTTCCAGGCGGTCCGAGCGGTTTTCGTGAGATGGGTGCAAAAATCGGCGTCATTTTTAGAGCCTCGACACCAGCTCAACACAGGACCCTATGGGAGATGGTGAAGTAGCGGAAGCAATAAATAGAGCGCTCTAATTTTAGCTTATTTCCCTGGGCCCAATCTTATAAAGGTTGTGCTACCAAATGGCGTACTATCATTCCACCCCACTCTATTTACGGCACCCTATTCACGCAATCTTATAAAGAGAATAGTATGGTAATTCTATTCACGCCATTTTGCCCACGGTACAAATCAACGCCAGCAGGAAACACGCAACGTGATTGGTCAATGTCTTGTCGCCGTCGCTATTGGAAATTATGCGTACTGTTTGCGAACAGCAAAAGTTATGTGTTTTAATTTTTATGGGGCATTTATTTCTTTTAGAGACACACATATGTGTAATGAATAAGTTATTTATGGAAAACGTGATAGCAAACTATGGAAAACACAAACATGCTTGAAGAA